TTTATATTTATACATTATTGTTATTTTTAAACTATAACTCTATATTGAAGTTAATACTTTATTTTGTAGAATCACCTTCGCAAAATATGAATCCAGCGGTTGAAACTCACGAAACACAGTCAGTTTTTGATCAAGGTACGATTATGTATTTCTAATCTATAATATATATTGTATGCTTTTATTTAAATTATACTAGCGTCCAAATGGGCATTCGCGTGCCTGTGTGCTCGCTTTTTAAATGCACACATAAAAGTTTAAATGACATTTTTTTTAATATTAATTATAAATTTCATGTTAGTAAGCATGTATATAATAAGTAATTTTTTTTAATGGATGTTTTAAATGTAATAAAACACAGAATCACGGTATGTTTTTCAAGCAAGACATAACATTGCTAGAAATTTTCGAAATACTGTTATGACAATCAAATCCTTATTGCCTCCTTCAAGTGAGTGTAGATGATGCACTGCAAAATTGTTTCATAAAGAATCTCAAGACATGTGTTGCAAGGGTGGGAAGGTGACAATTACACAGGTGTCTGCTCCTGACGAGTTGTTACAGTTATTTTCAAACACTTCTACTGAAGGACGACATTTTAGACAGCATATTAGAAGTTACAACCATGTAATGTCGTTTACTTCACTTGGTGTCCACGTCGACGAAAGTTTGGTTACAACTGGTCGTGGTTGTAGCGGTAAAAATCGTGAGCGTAAGTTATTAATTAACTTAACTCAAAAAACAAGAGTCGCCACCGCACTTTTATTTTATCCAAATAAAGGAAAGGAAAAAGAGCGAACAAAACCAAAGAGTTCTAAAATAAGAACAGGAGACAGAGATCGGGGTAAGGGGGTAGGTTACGTAATGGGAAGGTGTTAGCACCCAAAACGTCTATAGTACTCTATAGGAGCCCTTTGAAATATTTACGTTTTTTGGTTTGAAAATGGTTTGTTTGAAAAGAGATTGGGGAGATGAGAAGAGAATTATTTTTTTAGATTTTTGTGTTTGGAGAGACTTATCGCCTCATGCCTACGTACCCACAAAGTGAAATATGGGATCAAAACCCCGTAGTTCGTGGTACAAATGACAAAAATTTATTGGTTTTGATTGATTTTAGATGTAAAGACAAGTCGTCATTTCAAGGAGAAAACTGCGACTATCCACCCACGAGTATTAAGACAACATCTGCGTCACATAAAGATGGAGGATTTGCTTGGATTATCAACAAGACTATCACTCAACATCAACGTGGAAAATGTCAAAGTCTTAATAATATGGGGAATAGGAGATTTACATCTCAACTATAGAAATGAATCATGTCTAAACTTTATGAAAAGTTTTAAAGTGAAAAAGTGCATAAAGGCACAAAAAGAGTTGATGAGTTTTTGTATTTTTTATGTCTTTTGAAATTGGTCAAAGCATGATTAACATTGTTTGACTTTTATTAAGAAGAACAAAGTTTGAAAATCACTTGACGAAAGTCAAGGTTTTATTGCGAAAGCGATTTTGAAGTTTGAGACCAAGAAGGTTTTGAAAGAGGGAGAAAGTTTTGAAAATTTAAGAAGGGGAGGAGATGAAGTGACTATCCTAGAAACCAAAATAAAAGCTAGAGGTAAGAAAGATCTAACCAACTTGTAGCACACTCCATAGCAAGCAAAAAGAATTCCATCCGATTTAAAGCATAAGCTAATGAGCGAGCCAAATAAAGGCTAAGATCCACAATACTCCAAGCATAGGAATGAGAGTCCTAATTCTAAGTTCAAAGGTCCATGAAGTCCAAGGTCTAAGAGTAGTCCAAGAGCATAACCACAAAGTTAACAACACCAAGTTTTTTATAGATTTTTTATACTTTATTAGTGTTTTGAACAAGATATGGTCCAAGTGGACAAAAGAGAAATGACATAAATATAAACAAAGATATGATATGAAATGATAATATGGACACATAAAAGTAAGAAATAAGGAGTAAGAAGAGAATATAAACAAAATTAAACAAGGATATTGTTAGTGAATTAGTGGTTAGTGGTTAGAACATATGATCAATGATGATTAATTCTTGCACTTAGACCAAGATTAATGAAAATTCATTAGAGGATTGATAGAATCAAAGCCTCCTAACAATGATTTTCATAGGTATTGGAGTTAAGACAAGCAACTAATCATACTTGGACTTTTAAACGTAAGTTTGAGCCACGAATGATCATTTTCCGATTAAGGGACACTTTAGCGCTATGTTAAGCAATAGTAATCGGGTTTATGTAGAAACCACGACTATCTGAGGCCGGTCAATAATAATGTTAGTGTTAACACATGTTAGAGAAGTGATATGTAAATCACTCTCCTAAAACATGCCACACAAAAAGAAAAGAGGTAGTGATCTCATCATAATCAAGATTTTTAATCAATTAATCAAAGGTAATCTATCACTATTCCAAAGTACGGAGAATTATCTCAATGATTATTCATCCATAGATTTGAAATAATGAAGATTAAACAACCTTGATAATCAACAATCTATGATCCATAGATTTCATCGATCAAAAATAAAAAGAAGAAGAAAGAAAATTAAAATGAAAAGAAATCACAATTTGAATCTTAAATCGATTAAATCATCATCAATATCAATCACCTCTCTTGGTGGATAAAATCGACACCCAAAGTCCATTGATATTGATGAGATCTGATCAAAATTTAAGATCTAAAACAAACGCTATTTTTTTAAAAAAAATTATTTCAAAAGAAAACAAATATTAGAAAATGAAATTGAATGAAAAGCTTTAAAAAATAAAGAGGGAGGTTTAAAGTAAAAAACGTGGTGATGATAGTAAAAAGGCCTCGCGGCCCAAGATATGTTTAAACAAAAAAAGAATAAAACTAAAATCAAAAGAAAAGAAATAAAAATCAGAATAGCTTCATCATCTTCTTCTAGCTCTTACGCGCACGGCCATGGGAGCTTCAACGCTTACTCAAATCAAAGCGGCGGGATGCGAAACCAGCACGGTTGTGATCGGAATCAAGAGCTCTTCACAATAGTACCAACAATTCAAAGAAACACAACAAAAAGTAACGGATCGGAAATGACGGTGAAGCTCAAACTACCTTCAAACTCAGGAGCAACAATCAATCCAAACTTCTTCTTGCTTCTCTTCTTCTTCTGAATGAATTGTAGTTCGAAATTGGCCTCTGTTTGAGGTTAATTTGGAAGAAAAAAGTAGAAGAGTGAATATAGTATGAAAAGGTTTTGATGAACGAAGAAAGTATGAGAGGTGAAGATGATTGAAGCTTGAAGAAAATTAGAGGTTGGGGTGATATTTCTGCAGAAGTTTTCTGGCTTTTCAAGCTTGAAGAAATGAATGAGGTATGTGTGGTATTTATAGATTGAGAGTGAGGGAGAGTGATTTGCCGTTTATGAAAATTTGCTACCGTTTTGAATTGGGTGTTTATGCGTGACTTGTGCTGAAACTTTTTCATGTCGTTTTTACTCCTTTTCTTTCAGCTCACTTAAGTGACGTGGAAGGTTTGTGGGGTCAGCTTGGAGTGTAACTGGCTGAGATTATATTAACATGGCTTGGAAATATGGCTTAATATGAAGCTTCTCATGGGTACGTTTTGACTTGCTCAGGACTTCTTAAAGGAGCAATTAAGGTAGATTGCATCTTCATTGCAGATGAATGACTCTGTACTTCTACTTCATTGATATTCACTCTGCTGAAGTATGGAACAAGCATTGAGTGCTTTTCACCCTTATGTAAGCTCTTTGACAAGTATGACTCAGCAACTACAGAAAGAAGATCTTTCATCTGAATCTCAGCACCCATAAATGTGATTTGTCCATCAAGATGAACTGTAACCTTTGAAGTAAGTGCAGAATCTTGAAGAAAATACAGCAAAGGCTTCTTGATGTTGAATTTGCCATTAAGGTATAAAAGAGACGACGAGTCAGATGAGAATGGTTGTTGAGGTTCATTAATGGCTGACAACTGCAATTTCGTCAAGTCTAATAACAAGGATATATTTGCACCATCTGTACGCGACTCGGCAGTCCCAGATTTTAGGAGATTTGAAACTGTATCCTGCTTAGTGCATTGCTCAACAATGCCAAAGCCTAAAAGTACTGCATTCGAGCAGGATTCTTGTGCATCGATTGATACCGGCGACCATTGGGCTGAGGAATCAACATTGACAAACTGATTGCCATCAAACCATTTATTTTGGGTTTTCATTGGCTCTACAAAAGGACTCGCCTTAAGAAAAGGATACTGATAATTGAGCATATCTGGTTTTGCAAAAGAAGAAGGTGCAAAAGTTTGACAATCCTTGATGGTGTTCCTCATGTTGTATGCATAGTTTTCCAATGCATTCTTGGCCTCAACCTTCTTCTTATGCTCTTCATCCTCAGACTTGTATTTCTCAGCCTCTTGAACCATCTTCTCAATATCATCCTTTGAAAGCCTACCCTTGTCATTTGTGATGGTAATCTTGTTCTTCTTCCCGGTAGTCTTGTCTTCGGCAGAGACATTCAATATACCATTGGCATCAATGTCAAAGAAGACGGTAATCTGGGGAACACCCCTGGGAGCAGGAGGAATGCCAGAAAGTTCAAACTTGCCCAACAAATTGTTATCTCTAGTCCTAGTTCTCTCTCCTTCAAAGACCTGGATCAATACACCAGGCTGGTTGTCGGAATAGGTTGAGAACACCTGTTCTTTCTTTGTTGGAATGGTGGTATTCCTTGGGATAAGGACAGTCATCACACCGCCGGTATCTCTTCCAATATCAAGTGAAGATAGGGTTTGGAGAAGATAATTTAGAATCTTTGAAAGAACTGCAGGCCCTCTGCAACGACTCAACTCTTCACTGTTCCTTGAATATTGAATAGCCGCGGATACAATTCGGAATATCGGAGCAGCAAGAAATGTAGTTGCTACTGACACAGAAAAATTCCCTTGATGCTGGATGCTGAATGCTGAACCACAGCCACAAGCTCCCCTCAAAATTCTCCTTTAAGGGCTATGCAATTTATGTAGCTGGTCAACCACATCAAAGGAACTGCTCAACCGTTGGATATCAGATCGGTGAAGTACACTTCCTTGAACATGCCTGGAGCCATTTGGTTGAGGGTATGCAAGTTGGTTTTTCTTGGATGAATAACAGTGGTGAACACGGACTCTGTGATTTCTTGTCTGGATAGTGTAATTCCCATGCACCTTAACAATTAAAATTGCTTCCTTGTCTCTTGAATCTTCACACCAAGAGTTTTGTACAACACCATCGACAAACTCTTCCTGAGTCAGAAATTCTTCGTGATGCACTGATACCTCAACAATCTGATCTGGTCTTATAATACCTGTTGCAGGACTTACCTCAAGCCACCTAGGCAAGCTAAAGGAACCTCTCAACTGATGGTTTGCTGCCTTCCGATCCTCCATAATAGTAGGCGGCCCTTCACAAATTATTTCAAACAAAGCACTGTCTTCTCAGTTGCTGTTCACATACATGGGGGAAGATGAAGGAGTGATGGCAGATAAAACATGGCTCTCCAAAAAAGTAATATCACTGAAGAGATCAACAGGTGTTGCGGGCATGCAACAGGTTGAGTTCTGTTAAATACTTCTCAGAAAAATCGCTCAATATTATGCGCAGCCCAACTCCATTGGCTCTCATTCTATGGCCACACTCATTCTTTGGCCAAATTTATATACCCTCATTGGCCATGTTAAAAAAATAAATCTGTTTATAGAAGAAAACATGTCGTGGATATAAGTGTTTCAAAATCTAAGCCAATTGAATGATGAAAGATCTTCATGAGAACCAATGGTGAAACTTTCTTAAACCAACACAGATCTCCAACTCCAAACAACATATCCCTCCAGAAAGTCATGAAATGAAGATCACAAATCAAATCCAAGATCATTTGCCAGCTGAATTATGCCACGCATTTAAAGGTATGGATTTTCCAACAGTTTTTTATTGTTACTCTGTTGAGCTTTAACAACAAGATTCTGAAGCATGTGTTGATATTTCTCTGGCTTCTCCGTCATCATTCGCTTCAGAAGAAAAGCAGATGAATAATATGCCACTCTTGAATCTGTGTCGTCTAAAAGTTCCCTGAAAAATTGTTCCTGGCCTACTTCCTGGAAAACAACAGGAACTGCTGAGCATTTACCAATAAGAAGCAATATAAGTATAGCCCGAATATCTGATGTGGCACCAGGCATATTTCCTCTTCCTAGATGATTCATCTGCAGAGACTATATCAAACTCATCAGAATTGCCATGATGCACATACTTGCATGAGTCTATTTTCCCTACTATCCTCATAACTTTGCTTATCATGGTGAAGGAAATGACAATGGCTGCCTCTTCTGCAATTCCCAACAGCAAAATCTCTGCAAGGTCGTATCAATCTGCCAACCCTTGTTCTGCTCTCATCATCGACAGCTGAATACTTAAACCTACGTGGAGGGCTCCGATTTTGGCTCCTGCCGTAATCATTTTTTGCAGATTGACTGTGCTTCCTATTTTTCAATTCCTCAAACCTTGGAGATGTTTTCATGTCGTAACTTCCATCAGTGTCTTGTGCAATTGTTGCATCCATTGTAGACACAGTGAAAAGCCTTATGGCTTCTTGCACATTCTCTTCAGTAGCAAGATGAGATAGTTTCATCTTTGCAAGTGACTCACTCAACCTTACAATAGCTTCCAGCTGCCTTACAGTAATTGGTATTGCAGCAGCTGCTCCAGTTTCATCGTCTTCAGGTTGCACTTGATCAATCTGTTGTGCATAATTGCCAATTGGCAGATCATTGTTTACTACATCTGTTACCTGATGTGGTTTGTCCATCCTTGCTTTCATAGATGCGAAATTTCCATCATTTAAGAATGAGGGATATGGTTTAGACACTTTGAATAAACAGTTCCTTTTCTCAGCACTTTCCACAAGTTTGTTGCATTGTACACTCCTCTGAGTCTTTCGTATTTCCATGAACATGTAATACTCCACCTTCCCTCCTTAAAGCCCTCACAGCTGTGACCAAGCTACATTCACTAGATGGAATGAGACCAAGACAGACTCTATCAGCCACACCCTTAGGAGCTGTATTTCGATTATCTCCTTCAAGCAGGATACAATAGTCAGCCACAAAATTTGATTGTAGATTATGTCGGAGTGCTTCAATAGCATGAGGATTCCACTCACATGCATATACAAGTTTTGCCTGGGCCCTGACAAGAAAAGGTAGCACAAAGTATCCAATGCTCGCAAACAGATCTACTATAACCTCATTTTTGCAATTCAACTTGGCCATCCGGAGCTTCTCAGAAAGATTACCCCATGAGAACATGCATTTTGTAGCATCAAAAGAATAGAGTATTCCATTTTCTCGATGGTTTACCCAACCATCATCTCCAACAAGAATCTCTTGTACCAGTTGCAGCAATTGGGCCTTGGCGAGCAAGGCGATGAGCCTTGAGTGATTTGACAACAATTAGCCAGAGCTCATCTGCAATATATTCTTGAATGAAGTAGTTAGAAGTATAACAATATCACCAATCCGATCCCACCTTGCTGGCAGTTCATCTAGAAGCTCAGTCGGTAGGCCTTTTTTCTCAATCAAAGATGTTACTGCTTCAGTCATTACTTTCAAAGAAGACATTGCAGCTTTTTTGTTTCAACAACCTTATCTTCCAGCAGAATAGCACCATATTCATGGAGAAGAGTCAATGCTTCAGAGCATGACAGCTTATTTAACAAGTACCCATCTTGGTGTAAGTGGTTTTGAAAGTGGAATTTCATTTTCCAGGTCAATTGCATCATCTCCTGAATGACAACTCCTTTCATGAAATACAACAAAAAGCTCTTTGTAGACAGGAAAACATATACGTACACCACACTCTTCAGAGTATGCCTTCCTTCCTAAGTCTAACCATCAAAATTTCTTCAATATCTCCTCACCCTGTTTTGCGTATTTTTTCTCTAGTTGCAAAACACAATGCAATGGAATCATCTGACTTTGACCATTGATGTGAGGCATGTTATCATTAAAATATAAACTTTCATTTTCAGATATATTTGGTAGATGTTCAAGGAGTCCTTGAGAATTTTCAACCTGTTAGCAGCTTGGTTTTTTCCAAATGCGGATGAAGAACACGATGCCGTCCTACTACTTTAGGAATGTTGACTCATGATTATGATGAAGAGACTCTTGTCAAGGGCACTAAATTAGAACAGCAACAGCCACAAACATAATCCTTTTTCCCATTGAAAACTAATTATACTTGTGAAACTGAATGGAACAACTGGCGTGTGTTTTATCTTTTGCAGTGCATGAAGCAACAAATTTTCATTTTTTGAATAAAACTCCAATATTATCTGTGCATCTTTTCTTCCAATTTTCCATCTTCTCAACTTCAGATAATATTGAATCAAATTCTGAGACACTAAAGGCAACAGAATCTCCAAATTCCTTGAGCTGCAATATTGATGACCAATTTCATTTCATAGAGCATAGACAGAAAAAAGAATTGATGTACTTGCCATCAACCTCATTGCAAAACCCTAAACACACAGAGAAGAAGAAGAAACAAGCAAAATTGGAAAAAATATTTTTGGTATTTTGGTTAGAGGTTAGTAAACATAAACAATAAAAAGCAAGTAAGAAACAAAAAAGGGTGGGAGAGGCAAAAGTATGATCTTGTTTGCGTATGTAATGATGCAAATGAAATGTGGGATCTTAGGGGTAAAAATGAGGGTATTACAGTGGTATTTACACATTTCGTGCTCAAGGCACAATTTATCACAAAAATGGAGGTTTTCATCCAAATCAAGGTTCAAGGCCACGCTACTTGCAGCTATACATTTATGATACTGATCATGAGCTTCAAAATAGGATGAGGGAAAACCCAATACTTAACTGTAATACCCCAAATTTTGCCCTAAGATTTGTCGTCGCATTTCATTGCATTTAATCAATTACTAACAAATTTGTGTAGTCGTTTGACTTTTTGCAGGTAAATATCATATGACATGTATTTTTTTTCTAAAAAGTAAAAATGGCACAATTGGCAAGAGGACATGTGTAAGGAGTTGTGAGTGTGAGAGGTTGAGAGTTCGAATCTCACCTTAGTCACTTTTTGTTTTTTATTATTTTTACTCTAAATGTTTCTATCTTTCATTAAAAAATAACAAAAATAGTTTTTTATTATTATTTAATTATTATTTTCGTATTTTAATTAAATCATTTTTTAAAATATTATTTTTTTCACTTTTTTCTAAATTATTCATAAAAATATCCAAAAAATCATAAAATAAAAAATATTGGAAAAAATTTTGTTCTTTTTATAATATTTTTGATTTTAGGAATCAATAGGATTATTAGTTTTATTTTAAGTTTATTTTAATTATTTTAAATTATTTAAATTTTATTTTTTCTTAACTAATTATTTAGTTTGAGCTTTAAAATGGGCTTTAGGGACATTATTGACAATTTGGTGTTAACCCTAATTTGTTCCCTATATATACATGTGTTGCCTTGTTGAAAAAGGAGTCAGAAGGTTTTCTTCAGAAAAGAGGAGAGAGAAAGGGAGAAACAAAGGAGATCCCTAGAGAAGAAAGGCGGTTGTTCCCACAACTCGTCAGAAGGATTGGAGCTCTCCAGTGTTCCCTTATTCAAACCTTTTTCACATTTACCGAAGCAAACCTCCGCTTCGTAGGTTAAATTACTAAACCTTTTGCCTTTTCATGTTTATGTGCATATTTTGCCATGTTAATGTGTTTAGGTCCGTTAAATTACTAAACCTTTTGCTTTTTCATATTTATGTGCATATTTTGCCATGTTAATCTCCATGTGTATTTAGGTCCGTAGATTTTAATATCAAAACCCTTTTTTAACAAAACCCTTTTTTAAAATCAAAACCTTTTTTTTTTATTATTAAAACCTTTTTTTTAGTAAGACCTTTTTTATAAACTGAAAAGCCCTTTTTTGGGATGAAAAACCTTTTTTGTTCTAAAAAAAACTGAAAAGACTTTTCCCCAAAAAACTTTTTTTTTATAATTTAAACTTAATTTTTTTTATAATTTTAACTTAAATATTTTTTATTAAAAAATTAAAACCTTTTTTTTATAATTAAAATATTAAAAAAATTAAAACCTTTTCGTAAGGAACTCCTGATGTTTGATGTTTGTCGTGTCATTTTATGTACCCTTTTATTACTTTTCTTTCTTTTGGCATTTCATGTGCATGCTCGAGGTTGAGATGTGCTTGTGGCGGCCACAGCCCCACACTATTTTCCTCCCTCACTTCATTCTAAGTGTCATTACATATTTTCATATTCTTCATGTTTTCAGAAATGTTTCTTTGTTTCTTTATACCCTCTGCCTTTATTACTTTTCTTATTTCTGTACCTTAATTATTCCTCCATATAATGATTT